CCCCCCCCCCCCTTTTTTTTTCCTCACCCCGAAATCCCCAAATCTCAATCCCACTTTCAACTGACCTGGTTCAGAAAAGAAACAGCCCTTTGCAGTCTACTTTATCCCAGTGACTCAACAGTTCCCGCGACGACAGAACAAAACGCTAACATTTATTTACCCGTCTACGCTATGACCTTTGCACTAACCCAGAAAGGTCTATCCCATTAGCCGTCGGAAAAAAAACCTTCTGATGAGGGATTCCCAAAGCTAGAGGTAAGAATTAATCAAGGTGCGAAGAATAGAGCAGACCTTCAATTGACGAATAAATGCCGAAAGAACAATGTCTATTCACTAGTCCATTTAGATGTGTCTAATGTTTTGTTGCCGAAATGTCGAGTAGTAAGTATTTAAGCCTGGGCGATGATGTTCAAGTCGTCATTGGCTGGCCAAGCGTAACAGTTCCAGTACAGGAGGAGATTTTCGGGTTGTTCGTGAGGATATTTGCCTGTCTATCCCATTTTGAAGATTGCTTTTGGAAGTCCTTCCAAAATGGTTAGTATCTTTTTACATTCATTATTCCGCTTCGGTTTTAATGTTCCGCAGTTTAAAAAAACACCCCAAACTAACAACAAACCCAGTAACAATGTAACAATGTTTGCTTTTGTAATAAGGTTCCAGTATTGTTGTTGTTACTACTGTTGATTCCCCCTTTTCCTTCTTTTCTTCCTTTCCTCCTTCCTTCTTTCGTACGTTCGTTCCTCCCTTTTCCTCTTCGTACTCTACATCTATTGGTTCTTTTCTTCTCCTTTCATTATTGTTCTTCTTGTTGTTATTGTTCCTATTCTTTTGCATTAGCCTGCCTGTCTATGTATATCAAAGAAAGCATACGTACACGCTGTATAGTACATACATATAAAACGATTATTCTGGTAAATTGCATCATTCTAACTCCTAAACATAGGAACACCCCTCCCCTCAAATCTTGCTTAAATATGCACTAGTATAAGCGCCCAAAAGAATGACTATTCAACTTTACACAGGCAAAAACATAATCCCAACCTCACTGCAAACGATTTTGTTTTTGGTTTAAACTTACGTATCAGGAAAAACAGAAATAAACTACTAGTGAACCAGCAAAGATCAGCGAGCTGGGCTCTCCCTAAAATTGCTTGTCAGTTGTATCAGTTAAACTGTAATCTCGCTTCGCTTGGTGATATTTTAAGTCCTGCTCATGACATAGTACCAGTATATAAAAAACAAAACAAGACCAAACAAACAATACCCCAAAAACCCACACAAAAAACAAAATTAAACACAAACAAACAACACCCCCCCCCCAGCAGACGAGCCTTTTTCAACCTCATTTTGTGTTCGAAAAATGTCTGTAAATTAGAATTTTTTAAACCCAAAAGTTGAAGGATAAAATAATAAGAAATACACATGCGCACTGCAGACAAAGTTAGGATAAGAAAAATAGAATCTAATTGTTTAAATGGTCCTAATAAGAAAGATAGCAATTTAATTACTCAATTGACGTAGGGAAAGCAAGTTACTATTAGGGAAGTCAGCATTTTTTTTGTAACTTTGAACACATGATTCACCTTTCAAGTCAACGGAAAATGTTGATGTATTGCAGGTAGAATATATATTATATAAATCATTGTATGTGGCAAGTTCCCCTTGCTGTATATTTTGGTGGTAATGCCGACAAGGATCTGAAATTTTTTAAAATAATATGTTAATGTACGTGTGTTTTACTCCCTCCCTCTAAGTCAACACAATTTTAGATCATTTGGGAGGCAGATTCGACCTATAAGACTATAAGGGCCGTCCAGGGCTGAGAAGGACACAAAGTCCAGCAGAAAGACTGGGGTACTCAATAAAAAGATTCTTACCATACGAGAAACAAGCTTGGGTCTCGTGCGTGTCACAGTGAAGCGTGTAAACGCTGCATCACAGACGCCGATCCTTTAATTTGAAACGTATCAATTTGCCATTTCATTTAGTATCTATCAAACATGTATAGATGGACTCCATTGACCAGTGTATGTGACATGTTTCCCTTATATTTCTTCTAGTGGCCAAAAGCATGATTGTGTGGCGTCTATAATCTTAAAATATGCATCGGAATCCCGATGGTAAGGGAACAGGTTTGAACCACTATCTGCACTTGACATATCAAGGACAATTTCTAGAAAGAGATACTGCAAGCGCAGGAATACAAATGGAGAAACTCGATAAAATTAATAATCTCGCAGAAATTCAGGTCTTTGAAACAAGGCAAAGAGCTTGACCAAACGCCACAGACGGAGCTGTTTGTTTATGTACCGTAGCTAAAAGCAAATATTTAATGTTCATCTATAGCCAACGTTTTCACCCGTTTCTGGTGGGTGTAGCGTGTGCTCTGGTGTAGTTTGCTCCTCTTTTCCTGCTAAACACTCATTATCCTTATCTTTTCTCCTTCCTTTCTTCGCAAATGTCACTCTTACTTCAAGTAACTCCTCTAATCTTCAGCTATTAAAGGACCTTTTTGTGTTGCAAGTGCCCCCAAATTCATACTCAAACATAACTAAATATCCATTTCTGCATTTCTCCTCAGAATCGTCTCACTATCGTTTTCGCCTGTCTGACCTTGGCTGTGTCAGTGCAGGCTGCGGCCCTGTACAACGCCAAAAGTGTCGGTTATTACGAGCCTGCTAAGTGAGTACATCTACATGAAGTATATCTGGACAAGTCTAGTTCTAC